GCTTGAAGTGTAATCGGGGATGGATCTCGACTCAGCTCAGTTTTATTTTTAGGGATGATGCTAAGAGCAGTGCCAGTCTCCACCGAGAAATTCAGACCAGAGTTTCTGTCTCTAACATAAAACAAGTGACTGTTTAGGCGCCCCTCCTCAGTCGTCGCGACCTGGGGGGGTACTCGTTTCCCGCCGTCTTGGAACTATGCTTAGGCCAGGCGCATGGTTGCATGCACTTGGTTGAGTTGAAACCAAACTTCCAGTGGTACCAACAAAACTGCCCAGATTGTCTGGACATTTGTGACTTGGATCGTGGTCGTTGTGGTGACCTGCTCCTGTTTCTATGACCCATGTGCATCCTGGCGACAGCCCCAGTGAGACTCTAAACGCTCGCAATGAGTCCTTCTATGACGGGATCTTTTGCTGATACTACTTTTTGTGTGTGATTTATCGTGCCTGATCCAGTTGGAGGACCTCTTTCCATTATTCTATCGGCTATACGCGCTAAATGAGATAATGAAGTTTCACGATCTTGTGCATCCAAACTGTGTTGAACGTAGCATGGCGGAGCTTGTATCCATCCTTGTTTTAGAACTGCTTCACCCACTGTGTTATCACCCATTCACACTTGGAGGTGACGTAAAAACTGTGACGGCGACCCTTCATCTAATGTTTCTCCTTGGAAAAGTTTTTGGATTCTTTGACTGTCTGATAATGATAAACGGTTCATTATCTCTCGTCTTAAGTTGGTGTATGGTTGTGATGATGGTGGACTTAAAATCAAGTCACGGACTTCTTTGACGACTGAAGGAGGAAGGATGGAACACAAGTCTCTATAGCGAATTCCTTAAGATTTGATATTATGTCTCGTGAAATGATGCTCCAGTTGAGCAAACCACAACTCAGGATCACTACGGTCAAATTCTAGAAGACGGGATTTCGTAGTCATAACAGTGTCTATCTCCACCTGTGACAAATCCCCAAGATTATGGGTTTCTATTGAGTCTGACATGAGATATGTGGCGAATATAGCAATAAAATTAGCACGAAAAGTGGTTACTATAACACGAATAACGTAAGATAATAAAAAATAAACTATTTATATACCCAACTTAGTTTACGGATAATCAGGTCAACTTTTACGATTAAGTAAAAAACTAATGTTAATAGCAAAAATAAGGTTAAATTTGTGTTCAAAAGGGCTCACCAGTTTCGTGCCTTAAGGTAACCCTCGTGCTATTGATAGAAGAAACCAGACAAGTAGTGAATAGGTCTTTATTTCGATCTTCGCGCAGTCACAGTGGAGCGTGGGATTATTTGTTCAGACAAACATAGCCTCTCAACATTCAATATAAGATAGTAGAAAATATAACGCCTATGCGAAATAAGGAAGTGAATGAATACTTGAACTTTACTGTTTTGGCATATGCTTGGTTGTTTGAGGTCAAACCTCAACCAACCAACCTAAGCTGTTACAGATCCACTGATCTAAAGTGGTTAGCGATTTCAGGGGATGTTGAACACGGCGTGTCCACTCGTCATACGGTGTGGATGCATGACCGAGCGCCTTCAGCTAGGTGAGTCCATCAAAACTAATATGGTCGGTATCCAATGTCGAAGACTTACAAAGATATTTCTTCTGGGGATTTATTCACCGCTACGGTCTATTTGGCTACTTGGTCTGTAGAGCTTCAATAAGGAGACACCATAAATACCTTGAGGTATTATCTGGTAAATGGATCTTTAATCAACCCAATTTCATGCTCAAAGCGGGTTTTGAGTCCTGTAGTTTCACACTTCATGACCCTATGAAGGACGAATTACATGTCATTATGATCAACTTTCGGTTCCACAACTACTCATTTGGAGAATGGATTTTCCTTTACGACATTATGTTGTTTTTTATTCTTAGTTTATATACACTAGTCAGACTAGTCAGATGTTCATTACGTGTCAATCCAGAAAACGTATTCAACTTGTGTATGGAAGATCTAACCTAAACACACCTAAATGAAAACCTAGCTGACAATCCCAAGCAACCAATAAAGGGGTAAATGAGTTGGAAAATAAAGGGTAAACGGGAAAAAATGTCTGCTTTTTCGCCTGTCCGGGGGAAATAATGCGGATTTCCCCCTTTTGTCTCTCTGTAGGCGAAATTGTCTACTTTTCGCCTAAATATCCACTGAATTGTCTACTTTTGCTACAACTTTTAAAACACCATTAGCATAACCATAGCCTTCATCTCCACATTAAACCTCATGAAAACTACAATCCTTGAAATAAAAAGGTTTATGTTTAAATAAATTTATCGAAAACGAAAAGCAGAAGCTTGGGCATCAGTCGTTATACATTTTCATAGTAATTGCCAATTCATTGTTATTTGAAAAGATCTACAAAAGAAGAAACAGGTAAGCTCATTTACAAAATAATGTTTGTTGAAAAGTATGTAGAACATAAAAAACATTTCGCGGATTACTTCCTTTAGCCACGCATGATCAGCTATTGAGAATCAAAATAGTCTTCCTGTGAATTCTGAAGTGTAAAGAACGAGAGAGGCTATAACGATATCTGAATGACATGCTTTGGCTTAGCCAGATACTTGAAGCTTCACTTACGGTTATGCTAGTTAACACTGTTGACTGTAACCATATAGCAGTAGGGAAGTTATCACTTTAAATTTGGACGTACCTGTTCTTGTTTCCTCCTATTACGCTTTATCAATTTGTCTCGGACGTCGTGAAAAAACCTTGTGTCGCTATATCGTACAGCTTAGCAAGGTCTTTTTTGTTTACAGAGGATGACAGGAAGCGATTTGTTAAGGCACCTGAAGTTTAAATAATAGATATACGTTGCTTCGTATGCAGCCATAAAACCGGCATTTCTGAATTGCTCGTTTTAATGTAGTGCCAAGTAACGTGAAATTACTGGTAACCTCAGGTGTCATGAGGTACGACAAAACATATCGTATCGAGGTTTTCGGATCATTATCTATTAACCTCGTTACCGTGGCCATCTGTAATACGAATAATCTATAAAAGTTAATGTTGTTGACTTACAAATCTATCCCTGGTTTCTTTCTGCTGCAAACCAGTGTCCAGCGTCTGCAGTTCCACTTCAGATGACAAAGGGAACTGCTGACTTGATAGTCCGCAATCGAATTGATGCGAATGTTCGCGTTCACTGAACTTCGCTAGTAGCAGCTCTACATTTGTACTCAAGTCAGTAATAGCTGAAAACATGTTCTGCATTATTGTATACAACCTATCAAATCTGAAAAACTTCACTTGATCGTACAGGAGACTTACTGAGCCGCTAAAGCACAGCCTACATGCTTAGATTCTAATGTTGAAAGTGATGCATCTAATTGTGTCTTCAGGACACCTTTGATGCTCCTCGGTAAGTCCGGTACAAGAACTCGGAAACCATTCAGAATCCGATCAGCATCTCTGGCGCTCAGAGAGGTTGTTGTAAGTAAATTCATCAGTAGATCGTCGATATGCTCCTTACGATTTACTAAATTCCGAGAGCACAAATTAACGCCATTACATTCTATAAGAAATATATTAACGTATTCATTTCATATACATACCATTATTATCTAGAAGCATTTGATTGCTGTAGCTAGTGGATGACGTGACAGTTGAAGGACTTGTAGGGCCAGTGAAATGTCACTGAGCCCTAGCCAAATCATCCGGCAGTTGGATCACTGAATGTCGAACAGATCATCGCTCCCTGCCAAGGTCATGTACAAGCAACGCGCATTAGTTAATCATACGCCATGGACTGGCCCATGCGGCAGTGGTCTTACTTTCGCCTGTATCTACCTTAACTAATATATTTCTGTAATAACGTCCTTTGTGTTGTACAGTCTTCAAAGCATCTATAGTACCTTGTTACGTCAATGGGGGTATTCCACGTAAGGTGCTGACCACGAGGTGTGACTTCGACGTTAGTTGGTTCGTCACACTATTCACGTCTAACTCGAGTCCGCCTCCAATCATTTCGACATAGATCATCTACGTTGGTGATCTACAGACTCTCATTACAGTTAGTTTCTCTCTCGACTGCTATCAACTGAACATAAACCACTGTTAAAGTCAGTTACCTTTGATTGTGCTTTCATTACCAAACTGACTAAACGAAAGCAAGTTATGTTTTTTCATGAGTGCTATACGTAATTTATTCCACCGTCTATTATAAGTCCATCTATGACAGCCAGGGACGCTTGACAAGTTAATAGTGGCCCTACGTCTACGAGCTCTCTGTGACTTCAATTGAACAGGGTAATAAGTTATAATGAACATTAAAAACGGAGAGCACGCCACTCACATGCATCATGTTAGCTATTTGTGATGCCTACCAAGTATAACAGAACAATTTAGCTTAACAAAAGACGAAGTTAGTGTATGTGTGTCTCAGCCAAATCCCTGTGTCCGCATTTTGTTACTAGTGTTTATGACAATAGTTTTTTTTATTAAGCAGTCCCTTATTGTATCGACGTTTATGAAAACATCAGTACGGGATGCGGCATATTCAAACACGGTACGTAACGTATGGTTGTTGACGAATATCCCCCGAATACACGATGTGAGCGGGAAAAATCGACATTTCCCCAAAATAACCGACGTAAAGGCGAAAAAAACGACATTTCCCCTTTATTTACGCTTTCGTCCGCTTCATTTCCCCTTATTTCGCCTTTATTTCCCCTATATTGGTTGCTTGGGGATTCTGAGGAAATATTGGGGAATCCCCCCAAAACGGGTAAAATGTTCCCAAAAGTTGGGAAATTGGTAATACTCTCTTACCGATAACTTCATATCTGCAGAAAATGTTGCGAGCCAGACACTTTTCGTAAATGTCGTTCACATATGTGAAATGGCCTTCCTAACAAATATTTGTTAGGAAGGCCATTTCGCTGGCTAGTCTATTGCTACAGTAATGTCATTGACTTATATATATATATATATATATATATATATATATATATATATATATATATATATATATATATATATATATATATATATATAAGCAGAAGTCAGGCTTTCACCATTTTCCAGAGTTTTTGCGCATACATTTTCATTGCTTGTGAATTCTCGTTTACATCCTCTGTTACTAGTAACAACTTACGATGGAAGCTTACATCGTATATTTAAGCGTAAGTTGTAGAATCCATGATTTTCTGGTATTTTGGATGTAAATACATGTTAAGCGTCTTATCATTTACCGATGTTGGTTCATGTACTCGTCATTGCCGACCTTATTATAAATGCTATAATAAGTCCTAAAATTGATATTATATTTATCCATCAATCATGTGGTCTAGATCATATCAATTGTAATCCTAAGTAGTTTTATTTCAGAAGCTAGTCCCAAACTTTACGATCTTGTGAGGCCTCCACGATCTACACTGTCCTGGAAAAAAACACGTTATTTCTCTGTGTTTTCATTAGAATTCTTTGAGTTCTTGTAGGTTTTTCCACTGTTAATTTCTTTAATTGCTTAGAAAGGTGAGGGATGGTTACTGACTGCGTACTCATAAAGAGCATTTGATGAAACCATAATTTATGAACGCACTTTAAGCGACGCCAAAGTGACTTTGAGAGTATCTACCTACTTACTAAGGCTAAGTGAAGGTTGTAAAGCAGTTTGAAGAATAAGAATTATGATTCACAGTTGATGGTTAGGGTTAGGAATTAGACTTACGGTTTTTCATCACGAACTGACATCAGCTAAAATTCCCAGACGCTATTTGGTCAAATGGGTGAGTAAATTTCACTCCAAAATCCAATACCTGTTATCTTAAATCTTATTGGTTCGTCCATGAATTATAATCTTGACAAGTATTTTTTGCAGCTACTATGTTCTGAATTAAAGGTGCAGAACTAATTTGAACTCACCCATTTAGTGTAAACTAAGGACTAAAACTGTGGTCGATGAAATGCCAACAATAATATGAAAACCGTAATGGATATTTGCCATCTTGCCGTACCTACCGTCATTCAACTAAATATGTGATAATCGGATGTGTGTTTTGGTACTTGCTTTTGTTCTACCATTAGGCTGGGAATAACGACAAGCATGGAAGTATTTTAATATGGTAAAGTAAATGAATGTTTGCGTGTCATTAGATGTAAGAATCCTAAAAGATTTTAAAACGCAGAGGCATGTTAGAGAATTAATATCGTTGTCAAAGTTACCTAATAACAATTAACTTTTTACCACTTTATAATATCTCCATGCTTGTTGTCGTTATTTTACTAGCCTTCACTAATACAGAATAATGTACGTTAGTTACTAATAATTTTTACTGTCCTCCGTAGGTTGCAAGCTGCTGACGAGAATCAACGGAGTAAATGAACTCACCTTTGCTACTCTTGTTGTTCTTGCTTGGTTCAAATTTACCAATGCGAAGAATTGTATGAAGAAATTAACAAATTGAAAGTCGGGAAAATGTAATAGTAATGGTTTTTTGTTACTTTCTTTCTCTTCTTGTAATTATAGAAAAATTAAAAACGAAAACGTATCTTTTATTGACATTCTTTTGGACGAAAACGTAAGGCGTATCTTTCCCTACTGTTACTTAAAGTATGTAATGTTGGGTTCGATTAAGGACAAATATGAAACGATTTACTGTCTGATTTTATGGAATTTTCAGGTAGGAGTAAAATAAAGAAACCTAAGTACAAGAGTAACAATAACTTAGAACGTAGGAGGGATGGGTATATGTTCAAGTTACCGCACTTTCTGGTTTTTTTTGTGATTACTCTTAATTTCTTTTAATTGCACCATTTTGAAATGTAGCAACTTATTATATTTATGTCATTGTTTTATGAAGTACAGGTTTGGGTACTTAATTATCAGAGACTGTACGCTTATTGTACTACTTGGGTTACCCAAAATGTGATAGTTGAAGTGGTCTTCAAACCTGGAGCTCATCAGTTCTAAGTACTTTAACCATTAAACCACCACTCTACATTAGCATTTTGAATCAGTTCATGGTTTTGATTAATTTTGTTTTGTTTAATTCAACCGGTATTACGTCTTTCACTGTGAAATAGTATGCATTTTTATCTTCTGAATATTCTTGCACCTAGTCATGACTCTTCTCCTACTATCCTTGGGATATTTTAATGTTGAGTAGTAATACTCTTTAATGTTTCAGATAATGGCGTTGTCAACATATCAGTCAGTCAGTAACAACGTAGAACTTCGTACGTACGTACATTACTTCGAGTTGCCATACCACATTGGTACAGAGATGCATTTGTCGATCCAAATCCCGTAGTGGTAGAGGTGGTAAGAATATAAGCAGTAATCGGAAAGACTAGGATTTGAAGATGTTATTCAAGGAGTATAATAGTGAAATAAATTTGGAAAGAAGGGACATGATAAATTCAGAAGATTAGAATTTGGGAGAACAAAAAGAGTGGGTGCACCTGGGCCATTGCAAACGATTTTGAACCATGTCATTCGGGGTCTCTAACCATCGGCTGCTATCATCTCGCGGTCCCCAACCAGGTAGTCTATACCTACTAACATGGCTCAGTCTACTTGTCAGTGACTTCATGGATTTGTGCGATGTTTTGGTCTGGTCGCTCCTAGCTTTCTCCCAACCTACTCCTACACCACTGAACATAGCACGTCGAGGTAGTCGGTCGTTGGGCATACGTAACAGGTGTCCCAGCCATCTCAACTGATGAAGTTTCACTACTTCATCAATTGATTTGCCATCCTTACCTAGTACCCGTTTTCTAACAACTGTGTTACTTAATCGATGGTCCCATGATATACGAGCAATGTTTCGAAGACACCTATGATCAAATACTAGTAACCTACGAATATCCTCTACTCTTGCCGGCCATGTTTCACTGCCATAAATTAGGACGGAACGAACTGCTGTGCAGTAAACACGTCCTTTGGTTGATAGACGGATATCTCGCCTACTCCATAAATGACGCAAGTTGGCAAAAGCTAGTCGAGCTTTCTGTATCCGTGCTGAGATTTCGTCACACACCAGACCACAAGGGCTGATGAGACTTCCAAGATAAGTGAAGCGGTCGACACGCTCAACTACTTCACTCCCTATAATTAGTTCGGGTGTCGATGCAACCCAATCCTGAAGCAACATTTTGCATTTCGGTGGGGAGAATCTCATCCCAAACATGTTTGTATTGTTGCCTAGAATGGTCAGAAGAGTTCATCGTTTGTGTGTGGGCTGTGATACTGCCCGGGTGCCCAAACCGAAGCAGGTGGTTATCTTAGGGGGCCACACCCCGAGCCTTTGACCTAAAGGTCCAACACACAAGGCAGTGGAGCATCGTAAGGAGATGCAATCCCATGGTAGCCGGTGACCAACGATTGGTTCATACGCCATTTGTTCCCGCAGGATACTGGAGCCCATGTGCACCATTGGTTTGGAATCCGGTTAAAGCGCCGGACATTCGCTTTTCGTCCTCTCATTTTCGTAAACAACACCCCCGCCACGAGAAGGCAGTGAGTAGGACTTCCCTGGCAGAGGCTGTATACGCGTGGCCGTGTGAGAGTATTTCGAGAGGGAGAGCGGACTCACCCCACTCTCGGCCGTACCAGGGCACTCGGGGGCCAGAAGACTGCATTTTGTCAGCGTCTTCATTAAATGGAACTATGTCATCGGCATATTCTATGTCAAAAAGTGAATCTTCCGGTAGAAATTCAACCTCTGGAAATTTAGATGAGGAAAGTGTTAGCTCTGAAAGTACGTCAACGACAAAGTTAAACAAGAATAGAGAGAGTGGACAGCCCTGACGAACAGCACTTGTGGTAATCAATTCTGATGACAGTTCGCCATAAGTTCTCACTCGACCAGTTGTGTTCGAGTAGAGAGCCTTTATAAGGTTAATGTTCTTCTTTGGTACTCCTTCCAGTGACAAACACTGTCATGGAACCTTACGATCAAGAGTCGAATGCTGCCTTAAGGTCGAGAAAGACTACGATAGTGGGGCGTCTGAATGTGTGTCTGTGTTCTAGAACCTGACGTAGTGTGAATATCTGATCTATACAACCACGTCCAGGTCGAAAACCAGCCTGATTTTCTCTAATTTGTTCTTCACGAGCTTTAGTTAGGCATCGAAGTATTATTGAAGCTAATATTTTAGACACATTAATTGGTCAAACTGATTCCTCTGTGATTGTCACAAGAGGACTTTTGTCCTTTCTTATAGACTGGCACAATCAGTGATTGAGACCAGTCAGATGGGATTACGTCCAGTTCCCAAATTCTACCTAAGACCTCAGTTAATCTCACTGCTAATGCCGAACCATCATCCTTAAAAATCTCAGGAGTAAACCTGTCAGGGCCTGCTGCTCTCCCTCGTTTCAGATTTTCAACTTCGTAAAGAGACGAAGGACCTACATTAACTTGCCATTCAGGTTGACTGGAGATCGTGGAAAACCGAAGTGTGACTGTAGGCCAGTTGAACTGATCCCTAAAGTGCTCTGCCCATCGATCCAATCTCCTGGATTGAGAATGTATAATATGTCCATCTTTCTCTGAGTGTTTCGCTAACAGTCGGTTTCCTTAACGAGTCTGAACAATTGTCTGCTATTACCTATTGCCGCTGCCTTTTCCATCTCTCTTGCTTTCGCTACCCACCACTGTTCACGATCATTGCTTAGACTTCTTGTCAGCCTGTACTTAAGCAGACTCCGCTCTTCGTTATGTTCAGAGCCAGGTGGAATGAGTTTCCGAGCATCTATTAGTGCGATAGATGCTTCTGAAATCCAGTGTTTCTCCCTAACCTTGTGGTTTACCTCACTAGCAGATATCACTGCTGTTTCCACAGCTTTTCGGATATCATTCCATGCTGCCTCGGGGTGGGCATCACATACATGGCTGCCTAACTGTTTTTCTAGTTGTTCCTGAAATATACTCTTAGCTTGACTACCAATTATTAGGCCCCTAAGAGGTTTCCTTGCAGCGTCTTTCCTACGTCCAGAAATACTTTGCGCTGAGAATTCTATATTGTACCAAAATTATAATATTGAATAAAGCTAATAATAAAAAAAAATAATAAAATAAAAAAGACGCAGGCAAATACGCGCTCGTACCAGAGCATGATGTGAATCTACGCATGTGCTCCAGAATGAGCCACAGTCTTCTATCGAGCCCCTCCATCGGTGGCTGATAACGATGTGATCTATTTGGGTCCGACGTTGGGACGAATTAGGGGGTCGCCATGTTAAAAGATGTTTTTGCTTATGCTGAAAGTTAGTATTTGCAAGAAAGAGACGGTTATCTGAACATAGCTGCAACAGACGGTCGCCATTATCTGTTCTTTGAGCCACGACACTATAAGATCCATCCAGGAGTCTTTCCCTTAGCATTAAAGTTACCAGCCACTATTACTACATCAGAACGCCTAGATTTTCGGAGGTCAGAAAACTTTCTGCAAATCTCATCTTTTACATCATCTGAGCTGCAGTCAGTGGGAGAATAGGCATAGACGACGAAGAGGCAACGACGAGTGTCCCTATCTTTCCGAGTCCTTATTGTTCCGTTTAGTCGGACAGCGCACAAACGACTGTCTACTGGGATCCAGTCTAAGAGAACTAGTTCCGAATGTGACCAACTTGGTCTCGTGTGCTGTTACAGGTGTGTGGGGCGACATCACTGCCCGGCTGCCCACACCGTGGAAGGGTATTTCTTGAGGAACCTGAAAAAGAAATCGGATTAGTGTTGGTCTTGACGTCCTGGGAGCGCGACCCCAGAGCCCAAGGGATAACTGCTTGATGCCGGCCATTTTGTGGGAAGTTTTTAACGTGTTAGCTCCGTTCTTCAAAGGGCCTTACCACCGGAGACGGAAATCCGTGAGGTAAGGTGGTGTGACATTTTTAAGGTCAGCCTTTTCTAACCCCTTCCTTCATCTGCAGCATCGCTGCAGATGCTGGTTGTCCGAGGAAGACTTCTTACTGCTGTCACACCCCTCCACAAACAGCAGTACGACGTCGCCCTCAGACCTTGAGTTGCTGCTTTTAGTCTTACCGTTCTCCAATCGAGCTGCCTGGCATGGTAGGACCTACAGGCACATATGTTCCAGCCAGTATAGCTCGCTTGGGTCATCACGATAGGCAAGCCCGACCACCGCGTCAAGGTAGCAGCTACGGTCAGGTGAATGTTCCGTTCTGTTTGTGATATGTTATTCCACACATTTATTTCTACATTACATTATTTCTACATCCTGGGTTCAAGCCCCGCGTGGTGCGGGATCGTGGATGCGCACTGCTGAGGAGTCCCATACTAGGACGAAACGGCCGTCCAGTGCTTCCAGATTTTCAATGGTGGTCTAGCTTCAACTGACTCATGATTTCAATCTGTGAAATTTATCTAAGTGCTTTGTGAATATTCGTCCAAGTTAAAGATGTTTTGTTTTGAGCTGAAAACCACAAAACAGTAGTCAGTTATAGAGATCGTATGGTCCGCTTCAAATATGTACTGGTCTACTTTGCCAAATCCAGGAATTTTATTTCAGGTTTATAACTTATCATCAGTACTCACTTGTGATCGCATATGGGATTCAGCTTAAAACCTTCAGGTTTTGTGGAAAAGGCAATACTTTTAGCGTACTGAGTTGAAGTTTGGTGGTTCACACTTTGAAACTCGTTCAGTTTACAATATGACTGGATCACTACCTAGTTTAATCGATAATTGTCCCTTCAAATTGATTGTTTGTTATAAATTACTTATTCAAATCAAGTATAAGTTAAGTACAGTTTGTTCAGTATTTATTTTGTTACCTTCCGTATATCGTTCTTTTAAAACGCCATTCGTAGTTGCAAACTAAGTTTCCAAAAGCTTTAAGTACATTTGAGTGGTAATCATTTATATTGTATCCAAATCTAAATTATGCTAACTAAATTTAACAGTTTTGCGTTTATTTTTTCTGTGTATTATCTTCACAGATCTCATTATTTGGTTAGTTACATATGTCATCAAAGAAACCACCCAAAGCATTGTACGTTCCACCAGCTTTAAGAGCAAACAAAAATGCGGGCGAAGTCAAAAAAGAGTTATCCTTTTTAGAGTCTCCAATATCATATGCTTCTGTGAATGAACAAACTGATGTAGAACAACAATTAAAATCACTTACACTTTCTGACAACTGTATTGATGATGACGAATGTGTATTCAAAAAAAAACTTTTTAATCAAAAGCTGTCACATAATGATAGCAACAGTGAACCAGTCATAAGGTTGAAAGATTTCCAACATATTTTAGAGTTATATAACTTTTCAAAAGACTTTCAAAATTTTCACTTGGAAGCGGAACTCACAGGATTTGAGGATAGTGGATTTTACCTTAAATGGGTCGATGATACTCATTGTTTAGCTGTATTTTCTTCAAATGATGAAGCAAATCGTGCATTGGCTCAAATATCAGGACTTTTCATGAAGGTATACCCTTCTTTACTAACTACCTTTTTTGTTTTTAAAGCTACCAATTTTTTAGGTGTTTCTTGATGAACGTTTGTTTGAGTTTATCTCTTTGTAATGAGGTTTAAGCAGCCTCAGCAGCAGTAGGTCTCAACATACACAAAGGGAAAAGCAAAATTCTCCGATACAACACGACATGCAACAACCGAGTCACACTTAACGGAGAAGATTTGGAAGATGTAAAAACCTTTACATATTTGGGTAGCATCATCGATGAACACGGTGGATCTGATGCAGATGTGAAGGCGCGGATCGGCAAAGCAAGAGCAGCATATTTACAACTGAGAAACGTCTGGGGCTCAAAGCAACTGTCAACCAACACCAAGGTCATGATTTTCAATACAAATGTCAAGACAGTTCTACAGTATGAGGCAGAAACCTGGAGAACTACGAAAGCCATCATCCAGAAAATACAGGTGTTTATCAACAGTTGTCTACGCAAAATACTTCAGATCCGTTGGCCGGACACTATTAGCAACAACCTACTATGGGAGAGAACAAACCAGATCACAGCGGAGGAAGAAATCAGGGAGAATCGCTGGAAGTGGATAGGACACACATTGAGGAAAGCACTCAACTGCGTCACAAGACAAGTCCTCACATGGAATCCTCAAGACCAAAGGAAAAGAGGAAGACCAAAGAATACACTACGCCGCGAAATGGAAATAGACATGAGAAAAATGAAGAAGAATTGGATGGAACTAGAAAAGAAGACAGAGTGGGTTGGAGAATGCTGGTTTGCGGCCTATGCTCCATTCGGAGTAACAGGCGTAAGTTAAAAGTAAAAAATGTGGTTTAGGTATTATAATAAAAGCTACAAAGAAATCTTGAAAATAAGTTTTCTGTTAGTTAGACTGCACATATTTTGCTAACCGATAACAGAATCATATTTTAGGACTTTTAATACTAATTATGGGTAAATAAAGTTGGTGCAATTCAACAACCAATTACAATATCATGTACTAGGTTTTTGTCATGGATTACTTATCTCAGATAACACAATTAAGAAATCGTTCTTAAGATTCACTTATGGATTGAAGTAAACTCGGTTCACCAACTTTCAACGTGTTTCAATCAGTATTGATCTATTCAGCACAAATTTATTTTATTTTTATTACATCTTCATTTTCAGTGTAGGAGGCTTTTAGGTATTACTGAATTTTCAGTGTACATTATTGTATTCAGCGATTGCTCAATCTGATAAATCTTGTAATTAATAATAGTTAAATATTTGATGTGAAATTTACGTAAACTGGGACGTAAATTATTCTCTAGTATCTACCAAGAAAAACTTTTGTACAAGATTTCGTTTATCCATTGCAGTCTCTCTGAGGGTAATCGTTAATGTGTTGTGTATTATTCGTCCGGTATAGATCCCGGTTCCTATTAGAAGACTCTCAGTTGTTCATAATTTCGAAATATGGAACTCAATCTTAATCCAAAATATCAAGTAATATGAATTTTACAAATATTTTAACAAATTAATTTCATCTTTAGGCTCGTAAAATTAATGACGCTTCTTTGGCTAGCAAGTTGAAGATTGCTCGTTCACCTGGTGACTGGACTATGCCCTATAAAAAACGACCAGTTACGACTAGCTCAACAGCTCGAAGATTAATTTCCAATCATTTGGGTATTGTTCCTACTAAAATCAAATCTCCTGAGGAAACTATGAAAGAGGAACAAGATAAAGCTCTTTTACGAGAAGCACGTGGTAAATTATATAAGTGTTTTCCATATTGTTTCTTTTGTTTACTTTTCATGACACCACTAGTTTTCAGAACATTATCCAATGATGTTTTAAATTTGGTGTTACACTTTACAAGTAATCTTATATTTCTGTGTTAAACGGTCTTAGTCAATTATGGATTGGAATGCTTATTTTTGTTTCCGTTTAGAACTCGATTAAGATTTGTTAATTATTCAAGTGAATGTACTAAAGTTTTTATGTCGAAATCAATTATGTTAACATAGGAAGGAACCAACTTGCCCACATCAATTACCCCTTATTAATAATAAGCCCGCAAGGGAAAATGTATTGCCTAAATTCTATGCTTCCAATTAAACCTGTATGGAATGATTTTTTAGATTTTTAAATTATTCTTATTTGCCTTTAATTTTTAAGTTTTTGTATTTAAGGAAGATATCGAATGCCCATTTTCCGTCATCCTTTTTTATTATTATGTACATGTATACTTTCAGTAGGATATAATTAGCTTTAGTTGAGCACTTTTAAATACATATAGTTATAAACCTGTGTTAGTGATTGGTTTATGATATACATTAAAAAGTGATTCGGTCTTTTTAGTCACTGTTTATTTTTATTTCGGTTGGTTTGGAAATAGGATTTCGAAAATCTACTTTTTATTTTCCATCAGTGTATACTTAATGGTGTATTCATGTGTTTAAATTGAGTTTTATGATGGTTTAATAGTTTTATTACATATGTAAGGCTATGATATCTTCAACAGGAAGATTGCATAATGTTACTTAAAACTAGTCACCAATTTCTTCACGGTTTGTAGAGTACCCTTGATAATCAGTCCAGAAATTGATGAAATCTAGGTTCAAGGGTTTTATTTGTTGTTAGAAGCTAATAATTATTTAACACTGAATAACAGAAAATTATAAGGTCAATATCCATATATATCTCTTTAGTATAATCCCATACATTAGTTGTTCGATTTGAGAAGTTGAATATAACATTTGTTTTTATATTATTAACTATTTCGTGTATATTACGAAATAGAGAATGTTAATTACCAACATTTTATCACTGGTTAGTCATTCTGATCTAATCTCACTTGGAAATCCCAGTTAGGAGTCATGTGAAGAAAGACAGCATTTGATTAATAAATCTCAATCGTTCACTTGTTAGATAAGTATGTAAAATACTCTCCATGTAGTTTTATTAAGTAGTGAATGAAACTTTCAAATTTCAATAATCTAACAAATAATTAGCGTTATTTCGTGCACGTGATTTGCTGTTATTATTTTCAGTACTTTTTCAAATGAATCAATAGTTTCATTTCTTCAAGAGTTGATCATTACACCAGTTTAACTAATTCTAGTGTTCGTGCAGATATACGTATATTCTTATCATATGTAATGATGTTTTCTAAGGTGTATTTTATTTGATAACTACTAACTTTTTTCTTCTTATATTTCAGCTCGTGCGGAAGCTATTCGTCAGGCACAGAAATCTCTATGGGAAGATGAATAATGTGACAATTACAATTATGTTTTAGAATTATTCCTGTAAAAAAGAGTGACTTTTTTGCCTTTGGAATCCTTTTTATTTATAGTGAGAAAAAATATCTTTGCATTTGACCAAAGATTCATATCATAATCATTAGTTAGTATCATAAGTAATATCTAAATTATATTTTTTCCAACACTGACTTGTTAATTTTTCATCTTTCTACTCTGTCTATCTGTTTACATGCGAACACTATGTCTTTTCGCTTGTGTATTGTAAATTAAATATATCAATAATAAATCATGGAACTTTCTTCATCATGTGTATCTATTTGACATGCTTCTTGTTACTTTTGCAAATCATCTAATTGTATTTTTAATATGTTTCTTTCTTGTTCTATATATGCGTTTATTGTAATTTGTTATTTTCTGGTGTTAACTATGCTTTTTTATTTCACTAGGCTTCGGATTGTATTTTTTCGGTTTATATTGATCTTAGAAACATAAAAAATACGACAGGGCGTTGTCATTTTTGCTTTGAATATTTCTGCTGGTTGGAAGAGAGCTAGGGATAAGCAGTCAGTCATGCCATCTACAATGTAGGGAACAATTTACTACAGGTTTAATTCTGAGCTGTTCTCTAGACCGTCGAATACAGAGTCTTGGTTCGGCCAAAGTCAGAACAAGCAAACTATTTGGCTAGATAAACTCTATCTGTTTCGAACAGTAGCCAGAGAATAGGAAAAATGAGTCAACAAGCAAATATTGTTTTACAATGAACATCAAACTGTGATTGGTTAATAAAAAGATACAGTATTACAAGGTCAAAGGGAGTTAATGTGGTGGTGGGCGTTTCCCTTTATTATTGGTGAGTTCGTCTATCGATCACATTTTACATACAACGTAAGACCAGGCACATATGTGCATCGATCCAAGTTGCCATACCTCATTAGCACAACAAGATGAACACCAAATTCATAGAATTAGTTACTCCAGTGGTAGTTAAAAAAACATTTCATATAGAGATGTGATACAGGGAGAAAAAATTAGTTCGTACAAATGAAAATATAAAGTAATTCTAATCTCACGGTTTAAGGGAAGACAAAGAGTGTATGCGCATACGCCATTGTGATCGATTCTGAGCCATATCACCCAGAGTCTCCAACCATTGGTTGCAATAGTCACACAGACTCCAACCAATTAGGTTGCATCTACCAATATGGCTCAGACCAGAAGTTAATGACTTCAAGGAATGATGCCACGTTTTGGTTTGGCCTCCCCTAACTTTCTTCCAACCATCTCCAACACTAGTCAGCATTTCGCGTCGTGGTAATCGGTGTTTAAGCATACGTAACACGTGGCCCAACCATCTCAGTCGGTGAAGATTCACAACTTCATTACTGATTTACCGTCATTCCCTAACACCCTGCGTCTAACTTCAATATTACGTACCCGGTGATCCCAACAGGTGCGAGCAATATTTCTAAGACATTTGTGATCAAATACTAGTATCCTCTACTCCTAATGGCCACGTTTCGCAGTCGTAAAGTAAAACAGAAAGGATTGCTGCCTTTTAATTGATAGACGGATATCTCTCCTTCGCTATAGGTGACGTAGCTTTTCAAAAGCCAAATGAGCTTTTTGAATGCGTGCAGAGATTTCATCAGACACCAACCCAATAGGACTGATCAGACTTCCAAGTGAAGTTGTTGACGCGTTCTACTACTTCACTTCGTATCCTTATTTCAGGTGTTGACGCAGACCACTTCTGAAACGACTGTTTACATCTAGAAGGGGGAGAAACGCATCTCAAACATCCTGGCATTGCTGTTCAGTGCTAACAAAAGACTGCATTTCATGTGTGCATTCTAAGTCAATAAGTGAACCGCCTGGAAGGCGGTGGATTCCAGAAAATGTAATGGGTCCATGGTGAAATTGAACAAAAGCGGAGATAGTAAATATTCTGTATGGGCGTTTATAGTTAAGTACGGACTGACTGAAATGAAATACTGTCAAATATTTCTATCTTCGAACATTAGTATGTGATGAAATCTATCGTAACAATGAGAAGTCTATTTAAGCTACTTGGGTAAGTATTAAGTAGTACATTGACACCCCAAGTAATTATTCAAGCTCGTTGAACAAATACCACTAAAAAATTATCTACTTTTTTAGTCAAACGAAAATCTATTTAGTAAACATATCAGAATTTTAGATTAACAGCATGAGTACAACTATTCATTAAGATCCAATGCATTAGTGAAGCGACTAGTGAGACAAGACTCCGAATCCATCGTCTCCATGGATAAACGGGTGATGAACGTATTCACTGTTTCCTTGGGGTGCTAAAATACGGCTCATGCCAGAAGTGAATGTCAAATTTCTGTTTAAAAATTGAAGGTGGTAATTTTCAACATTACGAGTAGTTTTAGAATTCAGTTAATCTGTCTAAGAGTTATTTGCAATGTCTTATTGTTTGTAGTTTTCTCCATGTACATACTACTGGAAAAAACTACCCTAAATTTACAGTGTTTGCAATTTAAGTTGTTAAATAGCTGTAGCTAAACTGCTATTTAAAACCAGGATCCACCAAACAATTGTGTTGTCCTAGTATAGAGCTCTATAGTTTTATTCCAATTAACTCCTAACAATTAAAATCATATTATCTTCACCGATCTTCTTTAATGATCATAATATCATCTCACTGACAAATATTTAAGATCAATTACTTACAGATTTCTTCCTTACCTTTAAGAATACATCATATATTATACCGTATTCATCATCTTTTTAAAACTAGTCAAATAAATATCAACTTTTTATCATTACTATTTGAATTTAAATGTTTAAGATTATGAAGGTAATCAGATTAACAAATCACTTGAGATAATATCTTATCAACACACATCCAAATAAAAAGACAGATCAAGCACATGTAAAATCACTGTAACCTTTTTTATACAAAAAAAGGTAATGCTCGTCTACAATTTGCATATAATTGCAGGAAATCATTATCATTTTTAAACAACAGATTTTAAAGAAGAATAAAAGAAAGAAATTCTTATTGCTGCAAACAGATTACCAGTTCAACGAAATTCTTTATCCATCAGGTAAACAGCACTATTATCCAAATGTAGTCGAGCACGCATTTCTCTTAGTTTACTAACAGAATTCACTTGTTCTTGTAGAAAATCGTCCAAAAAATCTTGTGTCTATGTAAATATACAAAATATTTGTAGTAATATTTAATTATTTACTTAACAACTTGTACATAGGAAATAAATCATTCTAAGCTTCAGTGAATTACTTTAACTGATCTGGTTTATTGACATTATGCGATCAGTCATTCTTAACAGTAAAGATAAGTTAACATAAGCAACGTTATTATACCACTGACTAATTAGATTTTGGTAATATTAGACAGAAATTCTTTGACTTAATCACTCCAAGGTCAATATGGTTAAAACTAAGTAGGGATGAATATTTTTAGACTTATTATTCTTTGCAAGTGAGTACATAAATATTACTGAAATCTCCTTAACTTTATGATGAAAAATCTAGTCAATATTCCTTATTTCTACCAATTCTTGAACTGGTATATGAATTAACTATCAATATAGACCATACATTTTGTGTTTATAAACAGGTAGTAGTTTCCTCTATTACTCTCCATTTTTCAATTGATCATAAGGCTCATCTCAAAGTTATTAAGAAAAAACACCCTTGTTTTTATCTTAGGCGAATGAGTAGAATAATTTTGAGTACTTCTAGTGTATTCTGACTCATCACATTCGAGTTCCATATATATATAATGTGGTTTAGAAATGTATACTTTGAGAAAATTGTTTACAATAATGTTTAAAAAAAATTATTTTGTCATGATGATGAACTTTTGTTGAATAGAGAAAAGATACAATACCTTATACATTGGTGAGAAGAAATCAAACTACATACATCTTATCATAGGATGGTTAAAACCATTCTCATTTTCAATAGGAATTTCAACAAATCCAAATATAAATCATTAAAATGATCCATAAAATGTCAACGACAACACAAATGATTTCTTTCTGTTTTAATAGATATTAAAGTTCAACTAGGGTCTAATGGTTTAAAAATCAATAAATGAAATGTATTTTCAATATCTTATATATTTGTTTATTTAGTTTATTAAACTTAACAGGTGAAAAGTTCATGTTAAATTTATTCAGCAGCGTGCTCTAGTGTGTATTTATATCAGATTATAAGTTGTTTATGATTGACTGATTGGGAAGAGTTATTATTATACGATATTCGAATGTAAATAGACATTAATGAATTGTAGATATTTGGTAACTTTTCAAGGCGAATTCTTCTTAGTGAGTTGTTTAATAGTTAGTTATTCAATTATAGACGACATTAGTGTCTTTAATATTCCCAATGTAACATTGAAAATATGAGTTAAGCGGAGAAATACTAGTTTCTTGGTACAGCTATTCAATAATAAATAGGTTTCACAACTAAGTATTAGGTCACTTAATAAATGGCGTTTGATCAATCAATATATCTCAATATTTTCCCTAAAGACATTAAGCAGTTAGTAACTTAGCTGGTGCGAATTTAAGATGACATTACATAATCGGTTAATTCTAGCAAGTAGTTGCGTAAGATCAAAAGCAGGAATTGATTAAGTTGTGAATTAACTAGCTGAATGAAAATGTTTGGTGTTATTTTTAATAACGGTGATGAGTAATTAAAAAGACAGATGGAAAGGGAATTGGTCAGTCAGATTATGTAAACAGATTACGTTAGAAAAAAATAAGAAAAAATCCAAATAAATACAATATCATTAGATAAAGGAATAGCTAACGTAACTCATCAATCGGTTCATGATCTCAATCAAAAACTTAACAATCTCCACAACCACTATACTGATAACTCATTAGTTTGAAGAGATAGTACTTCAATCTATAAATCGATCGGTTCTGGTTTGAATATCAGTGAGAATTTCATCATTCACCTGGATATCCGTAAAACTTGAATGAAACTGGATACACGGTCCGGATTCTTTTTTTTTTACTACCGACTACTAAACTAATTTTCAATAGCCTTTTACTCATTCTTAGAATATTATCAGGATTATCAGTAGAATTTCAAGGGTTTTTTTTGACTTCCTAACTCATCCAGGTAAAAAATTGAGACTAATCAGTCTTACCTTTTTTTAATCTAATATAAATAACATTACGAATGTAAATAGTTAAAAATAACTTTTATTTACCGAATTGAAACCCTATGTCATTTATTATTGATATCAAAAAGAAGAACTCTAATAACTTGTACCTTAAGTCATCTTTCAACATCAAAACTGTTAACTTTAAGTCTGATAGAAAAGATACCATTTTAAATCTTTCAGTTGAAATCCAATGATCGATATATATTTGTATTTTCAAACAAAATTATCAACTTTTAGATAAACAGTTGATCATTCGATGTAGAATGAATAGAATATTTATTGAGAATCTATTAGATTGAAAAATTGTAAGTGAAAGAAGCATAGTCAACAAAAAATGTTATAAAAATTAATAAAATCAACTGAAATAATCAAAACTCACAATCGCATCATTCATTTGCGATGCTAATTTATGCAGTTCATTGATGTGTGCAGTGACTTGAAGTTCTTTTCTAATTGCTGTATCAATTACTTCATGAATATTTTTAAAATCCATTGGTACGCCTGAAGATGCAAGCTAAATTATGAATGGAG